CCAGTATTAACCGCTTTCAGAAGCGTCGCTAGGCATTGTCACACAGGACCCGTGACCCGAATCCCCAGTTGGTGTCTTGAAAAATCATAACAAAAAACCTATGGGCCCGAGCTCTGAATCTTTTAGCACTTAGCGTCACCTCTGAGCACTTTAAGATGGCTTTATTTATCTGTCATAAAAATGCCGACATCAAGTTCACAATCGTTAGTATACGAAAATATGATGTAACAAGTTATTTCTCTGTGTGAATACAAAGAAAACAAACAATAACGATATGCTTTTGTGGAACTCCGCTATAACACGATAGTTCGGGTCCACGAAATGCGATTGCGTTAAATGTGGGGTCGCGTTATGTCGGGGTGCCCACAAATGGTCATTTTCCACATCCCTTGCGTTGTTATTCGGTATACGAGATGTTTTCTTATACATTTGAGAGCTTCAGATATACAAATTGTTGCCCAGTTCTTGTTATACATACTTTCTTTAACTTCTTTTTATCTTATGTCCCAGCTATTTTAAAAATCGTACCAGAAATGAGAAGTCCTTCCGAGCGGGCCTGAACAAACACTGGTACAAAGCAGAATTTAGGGTTTCGTCAGCGAAAACTCTTAACTTCTTACATTTAAGACGAGATGCTTCTTCAAAAACACAGGGTAAGGCGCGAAGTTTTTCTTGTTCTCTTTTCCAACCTCGTAGGGTGGATTCATTAATCCCAAGGTCATGAGCAACTTGAGTTTGCTGTTTGCCATTTTTAATATGATCCAGAGCATACATTTGATTTCTGATGGTAAATGACTTACATTTACGTGAGGATATATCCATCATTTACAATAAAAAAATAAAATGAATAAATCGCGAAAATCAAAGGCTACCCGCAGATTTAAGAAAAAACACCTTAAATGCCCGAAGACAAATAGGCTGTGTTAAAATCGCTTTTCTATTCAGCTCTAATATACTAGAATGCCCTTTAGTAAGCAGCATGATTTGTTCGCGTGACTAAATAGGTTTCTCACAAAAACAAACGCGACAAGAACAATTATTTTAAAGAAAACCAACAAAATAGTTGAATTACACTAAAAAATTAGGAGCCAAACATTGTTCGCGTTATATCGGGGTGCACTTTAACGGGATTCTACTGTAGTTAGATCTCAGAAGAAAAGGTTCAAAGGTGCAGTAGTTATTAATGAAAGTAGGGTCAGTTCAATGACGAGGAACACCATATATCACCGTTGTTCAATTCGCACAATATGTAAAAAAAAAACGCTAATCTTAGATGAATTGAACTCACACTATACTAAATAACTGTTTCTTCCCCTTTATGGCCAGAAATGGATGTGATAGTAGACCTTTAATAAAGTATATTTCACTTGCTGAAATGTTTCATCTGAAGTGCTGACGATGTGCTTATGTTTCTTTGGTTTGTTTATTAATCGTTGAAATTTCAGTTGATTTATAAAGCGATATTCTATGCTTCTTCATACCATTCAACCACTGCTACCTCTGATATATTTATGTATATTTAGTGTGTAGGCAAAATTAAATATAACAAACGAGATGCAATGGACTACATTTACACAAATACGAAATAACACATTGCACTTCCCAGATTCCAGATAACATACACATTGTACTTCTCAGATTCCAGGTAACATACACATTGTACTTCCCAGATTCCAGGTAACATACACATTGTACTTCTCAGATTCCAGAGAACATTGAAGACCATTCAATCAGAGTTCGAGTCACGAGCCTGACTGGCCTTTGTTGAGTATACAGTACACCTTTAGCTTATTTCAGACATATAAAAAACTTAATTAATAATTGTATAACTAATGAAACACTTATACTGAGGCTTATTTAATGCAATGTTTTAAAATTAATGTGCATACACAAATGTTTCTGTATTAATTTTGGCATCATGTGTAATCATTGGCTGGATACGGTATTCTTAAGTCTTAAGTATTTTTGGTTCATCCTATATCTTCGAATAGAACGTTATTCTTGTATATTCTTCTTCTTCTTCTGAAGAAGAATCAACTATTATAAAACATTCGAGGTTTTTAAACTCATTGCACCTTTTATGTGCGATCCTATCTATTTTATCAAAAATGGTATTTTTGTGATATGGCTTGAGTCATGAAATTTGTGTGTACGAAAGAAATGGTATACTTTTGAGGTGGCTTGAGTCGTTAGATGTGTGTTTTCAAATAGATAGGTATTCCTTAGATGTGGCTTGAGTCGTTAGATGTGTGTTTTCAAATAGATAGGTATTCCTTAGATGTGGCTTGAGTCGTTAGATGTGTGTTTTCAAATAGATAGGTATTCCTTAGATGTGGCTTGAGTCGTTAGATGTGTGTTTTCAAATAGATAGGTATTCTTTAGATGTGGCTTGAGTCGTTACATTTCTGTCTTCGAATTAAATGGTATTCTTTAGATGTGACTTGAGTCATTAGATTTGTGTCTTCGAATTGAATGGTATTTCTGAGATATGGCTGGAGTCGTTACATCTGTATTACAAACAATATTTTATACATTGCTGCGAACAGTATTTTAAGTAATACGTAAGGAACTCTTGTCAACTATGCTAATTGGCTAACTGACTGAGTATCATCCGTTATTTCAAAATCAATCAATATTTTTAAGCTTACATGTATGCGTCCAGTAACTGTATTGTGTTAAGTACAATGCACGTGTAGTGAACGCTCTTGCGTGCTATGGGCGTGTTTTATCAAACACATCATCTTGGTTACGTATACATTAAATTGTTATTACAATTATTGTGTTTTAATGCTGGAAATGGGCACTTGAAATGAACATTTAGAGCTAAAATCAGCCTGTAATATTGCAAACAAACACCAACTCTGCACGCTGTCTTTGTTCTTTTACTATTGATGTTATTCCAGGAATAATCTTCCCAAAATAGCGGTAAGCTCAACGTTAATTCATTTCCTTATTGATCATTTCATCTGCCACTACTTGAATGTAAATTTTTCTGATTTTCGTAATATATTTTTCGTATAAGCATGTTTTTTCAGTCATGAACTTTGATAATTTAACGTTTCTGTTCCTTTACAAAAGATGAACTAAAAGTTGTTAAAATAGTGCATTAAACCAGACATTTGGAAATTGTAAATTACTAGTGAAACTACAAAGTTCATAGTGAATTGCATTAATAAGAGATATACAGATACTGTTCGGCTAACTTGTTAGAAAAACCGGCTGTCTGTATATCAAAAAGTATCCTCTATCAGGGGTAGACTAGAAGTAACCATTTATAAATACTGCATTAAAGAAGGGTATTGCAAAGAATTAATAAACGATTATATTATATATTTCATATATGTTATATGTATCAGCAAATTCACTTGTTATTAGCATTTGGTAGAAGTGGATATTTTCGACCACTATGTCCTACGAAACGGTTTTCTCCGCTGAACAAACTTGTCAGTAGGACGATACTGTTTTATAATGCTAGACCGTGTTTGTAAAAATATATAATTTTCTGTCTATTTATCTATCTATCTCACTTTTTGATCTGTTTCTATTATTTTTTTCTGCGTGTAAGTGTCGATCTGTCTATCGCCCTATCTATTACTAAAATCCTAGTTGTTTTTATACCGTATACGCGTTCGTTTATTTCAGAAACAATCAAACGAGCTTGTAGCTTTGACAATAAAAATGAAGAACTGCTAATAAAAACATCAGTAGTCCAATGATTTGGACTTTCGTTTCTCATATCCAAACTAATGAATGCTTCTCTTTTATTTCCACGTACTAGTGTTAAAGTTCATGTTATCAAACAACTCTGGTAAATTATGCATGTAATAACGTGAAATGGTTACCCCCACAGCGCTGTCAGCCACAACTAGACACTGTTGGCGAACAAAAAATAATATGTACACACACACACACATATATATATATGTCCCCAATGTATGGATATATGTATATATAAATCCCCAGTATACGCCAGTTTACATTTTAATGGCATGCACTCTGTCTCGGCACATTGCTAATCGTTAACTTACTTCTCTCTTTTATAAGTGTAGCACTTGGCAAAATGGTACTGGGCGTTACAGTTTTAGCGAAAATTTATACTTGCATGTTGTTCGTTATCGCCGATAAAACTACTGAAAGATAAAACAACATTTTTCCAGGAATCAACAAAACAACAACAATAATAACAAAACACTGGAACAGTGGCCACTCAGCGGATTTTACAGATAATCTTAAGCCTGCTAATATTTGAATATTTTGTTTCTATTATAATGTTCACCTGACTTGCATGTTGTTCGTTATCGCCGATAAAACTACTGAAAGATAAAACAACATTTTTCCAGGAATCAACAAAACAACAACAATAATAACAAAACATTGGAACAGTGGCCACTCAGTGGATTTTATAGATAATCTTAAGCCTGCTAATATTTGAATATTTTGTTTCTATTATAATGTTCACCTGACTTGCATGTGTTACTCCGAAGCATGATTTATGGTATGTCCCTAACTGTTTGCTGTTTACAGGATATTTTTTTTAATCCATGAATAAATGTGAGAAGAATCAATCGGTAGTATTGTAGTGAAAAACCGATTTGGATATTAGTCTCAATACTTGGATAATACTATGATAGTAACTTGATTTTTATGTCATTCCGAAACGCAAATTTGATAATATTTTTGTGACCACATAGTTTTGACATTGCCTTCAATTAATTATTATGATAGCCAATCGCAATTTACTATTCATCGATCAATTTCTGAAGGATGTTTTTTCAATAAAAGGGGCATACTTTAGATTTTGCTGGCTGAAGAAATCACACGTTATAAGCCTTTCTTAAGTTAAGGTTTAGATGTAATATTCATTCAATAAACTTCATATTTTACGTAAATAAGAGGAAAATATTGTCAATATTAATAAAATAATAGATGCAAGTTGTTTTGTCCTGAAAAATAGTTATCTCTTGGGATTGTATTTTAATGTGTTTTTTTCTTCTTTATAGCAGTGAAGAAGACCATGACAAACATGCACAAGCTGATTATAACAGTCACAGCCATAATTGTACAAATGACGTCACTGAGAGGAGGGTTGGTGTTTGATGACATTGCTGCCATCAGAGAAAATCGTGACGTCCGGTCAACAATGTCCTGCTTAAGCTTGTTTTTTAACGATTTTTGGGGAACTCCATTGCACAAGGTTCGATTTGTCTTTTGACGATACGGTTTTGAGAGAACAAAATAATTTAAGAGTGGATTTATTTTCTGTTTTTAAGTCATCGTCCAACTCCTTTTTTGTTCATTGTGTGAAAAAAATCTATTTTAAGGTTAAAACACTGAACGCGCAAATAAAATTATCATTAGGCCTAAATTTTTAACGAAAACAAAATGAAAAATGGTGAACGAACAAACGTATGGAAAAATGGAGAGTTATTGTGCATCCGGTTGAAAAACACGTTAATTACAATTTGTTACTTTATATCCCTTTCAAATATGAAAATATTCTTCGGAATAATTTAACATTTAAATAAACCAATTACAATAAAAGGATCTGACAATATAATTACGTTGTTTTAGTCACGTGATAGTAAATTAAGAAATATATGTATTTGATGTTTATAAAGAATTAATTTTTTTTATTCTATTATAGGAACAAAGCCATAAATCATATCGCCCTTTAACCGTGCTCACTTTTCGATTGAACTACATTTTCCATGGTTTACATCCATTAGGTTATCATGTAGTCAACGTCCTGCTCCACGTTGTAGTGTGTCTACTGTTCCACAGGTAAAATGTGAAACTATAGGTTATCATGTAGTCAATGTCCTGGTCCATGTTTTAATGTGTCTACTGTTCCACAGGTAAAATGTGAAAGTATAGTTTACCATGTAGTCAACATCCTGCTCCAAGTTGTAATGTGTCTACTGTTCCACAGGTAAAATGTGAAACTATGACTTACCAGGTAGTCAACGTCTAGCTCAACAATGTTCTAAGTTAAAACGTGAAACTATTGGTCATCATGTAATCAATGCCTTTCTCTGTGTTGTAGTGTGTATCTTATACAGGTAAAACGTGAAATTATAGGTTAACATAATTAGTGTCTTGTTAAATGCTATAGAATCTATACATTTCCATAATTAAAGCACGAACCAATAGGTATCACTGTCTTGCTCCTTACTGCATTTTATAGTATTCCAAAGCAAGACATAAACTTTCAGCTCACTGTGTAATCAGTGTGTTACTCTGCGCTGTATTGCGCCTCGGGTTCCACAGGTAAGATGTGAAACTCCATTATTATGCATTCATATTCCATTCTTTGTTATAGTTTGTTTATTAATTTACAGTTAAGACATGAACCTTCAGGTTATTATGAAGTTAATAACCCATTCAATTTCATGCCTCTCAAAACTGAAAAATGGAACATCGTGTTGACAACGTAGTAGTATCGTGATTCTGATTCGTTCATGCAAATAAGCCTAAACATATTTCAAAGGATGTTGAACTTTAATTCCGGAGGTGATGCAGCACCTTATATGTCTGATTTTGTTTGCTATTTATCATTGATTTGAGATATGTTTTCATCATAACCGATATTTATTCTTGCGTATTTGACATCCGAAATTATATTTTCTTAATGCTAGTGTCTCTTCAGAGCTTATTAGTACACATTTTCTTGAATGCACGGAGTAAAACAGTTTAATTCAGTGGAAAGTTAACTCAAAGTATACAGCTGACGTTTATAATACACGTTATATAAAAGCCTAATGATTGGTAGAGAAATATTAATGTAATGACTATATCTATATGCGACTTGCCATTTGACTATTTCTTTATTCTTATCTAGAATGTGCAACCTGTTTTTATCACAGCTCACCAGCTTTGTTGCGGCGTTGCTCTTTTCCGTCCATCCCATACACACTGAGGCGGTAAGTAATCCACGTTACATTAATTTTCGTCCTATACACACTGAGACAGTATATAATCCACGTTACACTAGTTTTTATCCCATACACACTGAGGCGGTAAGTAATCCACGTTACATTAGTTTTCGTTCTCTACATACTCAAGCGGTAAGTAATCCACGTTACATTAATTTCTATCCCATACACACTGAGGCAGTATATAATCCACGTTACATTAGTTTTCGTCCTATATACACTGAGGTAGTATGTAATCCACGCTATATTATTTTTCATCCTATATACACTGAGGCAGTATGTAATCCATGTTACATTAGTTTTCGTCCTACACACACTGAGGCAGTATGTAATCCACGCTATATTAGTTTTCGTCCTATATACACTGAGGTGGTAATAATCCACATTACACTAGTTTTCATCCTATACACACTGAAGCGGTAAGTAATCCACGTTACATTAGTTTTTACCCATACACACTGAGGCGGTAAGTAATCCACGTTACATTAGTTTTTATCTATACACACTGAGGCGGTAAGTAATCCACATTATATTAGTTTTCATCCTATACACACTGAAGTAGTATGTAATCCACGCTATATTAGTTTTCGTCATATATACACTGAGGAAGTATGTAATCCATGTTACATTAGTTTTTATCCTATACACACTGAGGCAGTATGTAATCCATGTTACATTAGTTTTTATCCCATACACACTGAGGCAGTATGTAATCCATTTACATTATTTTTTGTCTTATACACACTGAAGCGGTTCGTAATCCACGTTATATTAGTTTTCATTATTCGATACTCACTGAGGAGGCTGTTCATACTCACTTGCACTTGGACTGTTTTATATGTTGTCTTCTTCATGAAATAATAACAAACGAAATTGCTTTCAGGCATGTATGCAGTTAAATTTACTACCAAATTACTTAATGAAATTGTCTATTTTTAAAATTCAAGTACTTTAATTTCTGGTACGAAAGAAATGCATGAAAGACGTTACAGCTGTTCCTCAAATTATATTATTATAGTATCCATAATACGGTGGAATAATATTAAAAATATTGTCTTGGTTGGAGCCATTTAAACTCTTGCTGCACGCTGAGAACTAACATTCTGTGGAATTTCGTATACCAATGTTTTAAAAAATGGTTTCTTGTGATAGTCTGAATAATCTAAACCTGTAAATAATAGTGTTTATGCTCATCAAAACGACTTTTATACTGCTGCATTTTAGGACAGTTATATTCAATCTTAATTGTTTAATTTTAATGTGATTTTGCAATATAATCTTATTTGCGTTATTCATTAAATACGATTAAAAGAAGAGATATGTAATTCCAGAACATGACGAAACAATTTTTGTAGCTACATCATTTTATTGGAACATTTTTTGTTTAGTCAAGTGAATGGTGTATGATACATTGGTATAACACTCGTTACTGTTACAAAAAATGTCACTTTTCGCTTTCATACTTTTTGAATATGACGATCAGTAAAGACAATTTTTGAACTCGTAATACATGCATGATTATATAATTTAAATGTTCATAATTTAGGTTGCCAGCGTCGTAGGTAGAGCGGAACTTCTGTCAGCAATTTTCTTCATCTGTGCCTTTATCCGTTACGTACAAGAAATTCGCAAACGCGAATATAAAGGTATAGTATTAGGTCGGACATGTAAAGCATTAAACAGGTATGATCAAGAGGTTTTCATTATGGAAGATATTATCTTTCGTGCTGTAAACTTAAATAATTCGTTATAATGATGGCCAGTAAATGATCCTAAACTTGTGTTTAAACAGTGTGTGATGAATGAATGAAAGGATAATAAATTAAGGAATAGATTATAGATTTTCAATGGTTAACATGAAGCGATTTTAGTACTAAAATGGATCAATCCCACTTTTTAAGAAAGGATTGCACATGCTAAACCGGATTGTTAAATAATACATAGCTCAACGAAGAAAGGAATCCTCAGTTTTTTCAATGGAAAAGGAATAACAAAGCGTTAAGAGTAGAATAAGCTTCGAGTCTAGAGCAACGCTCTTATCTGCAAAATGAATACTGTAACTAAGAATCTTCTGATCCAAAACACATTTCTATGAAGCATAGCATAACTCATAATATCTTTAACAAGATATTAAATAGTTAAAAACTGATGAAGGCTCACAACCTTCCAGCTGTACCTTGAAATCAGTAGTTGTTTTAATTAAAATGATGGCCAGAGAAAGTAAAGCTATGGTAACATCATATGACCACATATCATCCGATGTAGCTTCATCTTCCAAGTAGAGAAGATGATTTGTGGAAAGCTTGTAGAGATGTATGATTGATCTCTCTGTCAGTCGCAGAAGTTTGTTGCAATAAAAATGTGAGTGAGTAATCATAGCAGTCGTCGAGCTGGCCACAACCAACGATGGAGGAACTAGTTCCAAGAATAACACATGACTAAAATAATCTTTCTTATAAAGACACTTAATAACCTTCCAAACAATTTGGAAACACTGTTTTGTTTTTATAAGTACTTTTTATGAACTTTACTATCTGAGCTACAATAATTTGAACTTGGCAGCCATAGTAATAAACAGCTGAGTGTATAATAAGAGTAAGCTGTTATAAAAGAAAGGGCTCATTGCAAACCCATCAGCGTCAACTAACTGTCAAAATACTATTATGATACGACTACTTGTGCACGAGTCGACAAACCTGTGTAACGTCCCTAGTAGAATATCATAAACCCTATAGGCCAGTGTGGTTAATAAAGTTGAAATTATCTTATTGTATTTTATTGTGTCTCTTAATGATTTTCATGTAGCTAACAAATAAATCTCATAACAACATATTTTGAAATAATGCGTATTTTTGTAACCCATATTTTGGCCTTTAGTACCATGGTTCAATTTATCAAATGCCACAATCGAAGAGTAATATATTATTTGGACGAAATTGACGTATACGAACGAAATTAACTTACATGATCTATTTTTTTCCTGGCAGGGTGGCGCTGTTGTGTAGAAACCTTAACAATGGGCGCATCAGGGATGTTTTGCAAAGAACAGTGTTTAACTGTTTTGATCGTCTGCAGTATCTATGACTTAGCTCATGTAAGCCTGATAATCTTCACTCTTAAGTAAGACACTGAGGTGTTGGTCTTTAAAAAAGTGTGTTCAAAGTGACTTAATCAACCACGAAAGTGGTTTTTTTTTCTCCTAGAGTAAAAACTTTATCCCCATTTAAAAAAAAGAAACAGTATTGTTTTAATAAGATAAGGAAACAAATATTTTATTTCTGTACTTTGGGTTATTCACTTTTGGAAAACTTACTTGTCCATAAAGGCCTATATCACAATGTTTGCTGAACTGGAACCGTTGATAATTTTTTAATTCAACAGATTATCTCTCTATTTCATGTCTTGAAGCACATGCCGCTAGAAAAAAGGATGTTATCTCCATGGATACGACAGTCCCTATGGAGAGTAGGATTTCTCATCATGTCTGCAGGTTTTCTTTTAACTCTACGACTAAAACTGATGGGATGGAATTTGCCAGTTTTTAACAGGTTAATAAAACTGACGCTTTTTTACATTTATAAACGTCTCGTTCCTTCAACAGAATTAAATTTTTATATTTATTTTATTAGCCGAAAGATGATTATTCAGTTACCTACTATTCTTAATCAGGAATGTCTGAGCAAATCAATCATTATTTTTGTTCATTGCTTCTGAAAAAAATCCCAAATACGTAACATTACATGTATAATTTTTAATGATCTGTTGTGCACGTTTGAATCGTAATAATTTTTTATTATTTCTTTTTATATTTAAAAATTAATTATCTGTTTGGAGGTTCTACTTGCATATAGAAAACTCTTTAGTTTAAACTCTAAATAATCGCCACTGAAAGTCACAGTCAAAAATTTAAAATTAAACTTAAAATTGGAAATTGAAATGTTTTAAGTTTCCTTGAAAGAAAAAAGTGACAACAGCGCATATATTTATCACTTCAGTATGCCGTTTATGACATACTGGTTCAACGTTCGAGTACAACGGTCTAAAACTTCATAAACCAAATAATTTTTTATCCAAACTGAACTCTGTATTTGAATCTTGTCTTAAAAATAAATAGTTATTATTCAACTCATCCATCCTTCTATGTTCTAGGTTTGATAATCCAGCTTCTGCCGCATCATATCCGGTTCGACATCTCACCTACAATTATTTGTTGTCCCAAAACATTTGGCTGTTACTATTTCCTTATGACCTGTGCTGTGATTGGACGATGGGAACCATTCCACTCGTGGAAAGATTCTCGGATGTCAGAAATATAAATACAATCGCAATGTATGTTAGTTTTGTCAGCGTGTTGAGTGTTGCAACATTAAGAGGAAAGGAACGGAAATCACATCTTGCCGTAAGAAAATTTAATTTTTCAAATTACCTTTAAAGTTTAAGACGTAGAGGCGAATATCTGTTATTAAAGTGATTCAATATCTTATAAAAATCAATTCTTATTTGGGGTTTAGAAAGGATTGGCAATATTTGAAGACTTGGAAATGTAATTATTAAAAATTTACAAACTAATAATGTACCTAGGTCAAAGAGCTAGAATAGTACAAGTTCTTACACAGGTTTCAGAAAGTTACTAAAAATTGTAACCTTTAAAAAGTAGTTAATATGCAAACAATTCATCTGTTTTGAGCTGCCGTTAATCTCCACAATATATAATTTCAACGTCGTTGTTTTGTTGCTGAAGGCTTATAACTCTAAAAAAGGGTTTCGATACCCGTTGTAGGCATAGCAAAGATAGCCCATTATGGAGCGTGCGCTTAACGACAAACAAACAAACAAAAGAGTAAGCAGCTTTAAAAATCAGACAGTCAACTATGTAATAATGGAAATAATAATGAAACCATCAACTATGTAGTGGTTTCATTATTATTTCCATTACTACATAGTTGATGGTTTCATTATTATTTCCATTACATAGAAGATTGACAAACAACGAGTTGTGGTGGTGAATGTATAACATTATCTCAGAATATACAAACGAAAATCCTACAAATTGTACAATACAACTTTGTACGTGAGTCCTTTGCTTTGTACACTATATCTTCCTTTCATACTTTTTATCAAATCTTCAGTTTTTACATAATTTCATATAGTTTCAAAAATATTCACGTGGGAAATTTGTGCGCCAAGCCATGTTTGCGAGTGTTCTTGTTTACTGTCAAGTCATGATATCGTTTTACCATATGTAATGTCTGCTTGTGATCATTGCCTTTCTGAAAGATGAATCCCTAGGGGAATCGTATGATGGATCAGAATCTAACTGTATTTTTTAGCAGTGAAAGTGCAATTAGTTTTGTGCAGATCACAAATTCCGTTTGCTGATATGGCGCTCCATACTTGTACTGATCCTTTGCCATGCCTCACTATAGATATTGTACATTAACTATGATACCGTTCTTCTCTTTGCCGCAAAAGAAACTTTTGTTTTGTAGACGAATAATTCGAACTTGGATTCATCTGTAAAGAGCACACGTCTTCGACTTTGTTCGTTCCACTGTTTGTAGTGATGCTCATTTCAGCTTTTTGGTTTGGTCACGTCTTCTCAGCAGCGGTTTTCGAGCAGCTACAAGTCCACTGAGACCACTTCGTGCTAATGTGTATCTCACTGTTCTCGAGGTGACATTCACATATGAATATATCTATTTACAGCAAGGCTGTTTGAACGATCTCTACTCGATCATCGTATATCTCGTAAAAAACCTACTGTGAAATACCTAACACTACTTTTGGAGAGTTTCAGTTTTCTACATTGACCTCACTGATTATTAACACCGCCAGATTCACGTACCCTCTTTGAAGTCTTGCGTATAACTCCTACTAAAACATGAAGTCTTGCCGCAATTTTTCGCATAGTGTATACTTCATTGGTCGCAACTTCAATTTCTGCACGTTTCTCATGCAGCATTTCAGTCCTGGGAGCCATATCTACTGACTGCTTGTACTTCTACAGCCTTTATATTGTTGTGACACTTTCTGACTGTTTGAATAACAACCAATCACAGTGTAAACTATCAACATGTGTACTTTACTCTGGTGCAATTCATTTTCACATGGGAAAGGGATGGCTTCCCATATGTCTTTTATACTATTTTTACTCATCGTTTCCACAATCATTTTTAAACGAGTGTATCTATGATAAAGATTGAGCAACACTAAACATTACATAGTTAAAAAGTTCTGTGGTGAATGTTGAATAGCATCAAAAATCAGAAGTTCTTAACTAAAGATTGAACAGGCAGTCAAAAGGTTCTGTAATAAAAGTTGAACAGTATTGAAAGCTAAATTGTAAAAAAGTTCTGAAGTGTAGATTTAATATCATCAAAAATTAGATGTTAAAAAAAACTTTGAAGTGTCAATCGTACAGTACCAAAATACAGTTAATCAAAAAGTTCTGTTATAAAGATTGAACAGTATCTTAAGTTAGAGTTTCAAAAAGTTCTAAAGTGAAGATTGTGGAGATTGAATAGCGTCTGTGCCTACTCAACACTAAATAATTTAATCTCGTATGTAAATGTATTATTATTTTCTTTAAAAAAAAGGAACATAAACCATAAATATGTACCACAGGTAATGAAAATTCAGAGTAAGCCATTATTACATAAGATTGCTGTATTCATCATGATACAAAGTGTAGTCAATTCATGTCATATCAAGATGAATATTTGAATTAAAATCCTTAAAAAATACCAAAAATATTAAAGTATTTCGGTCAGATATTTAAAAATGATTTTATTTCTAGTTATAAGATTAATTTACATAGTATTTTTAATTGAGATGGTTAACCTCATTTTAAATTTTTTATTTATACGGTGCACAAAGCCCCCCAGGGGCACAGCGGTATGTCTACAGACTTACAACGCTAGAAACCGGGTTTCGATACCCGTGGTGGGCAGAGCACAGATAGCCCTTTGTGTAGCTTTGTGCTTAACTGCAAACAACAACAACGGTGTACAAAACAATTAAAGAGACGGACTCTGTAGTATTAGGGCTATGAAAGGACGAATACCATTGTTGAAAAATAATGCCACTCACTCCCATCCGACATGGTTTATTGATATATGGATAAGTATCTAATTATCAGTCATATGAGCTGAACTAAGAATGAATAATCATTAACCATATGCTATATACAGAGGGTCGAGTACGTTATATATTAAAACGATTTTCAATATGAAAAACAGCAAGTCATGTGACAATCACAACCGATATATGATTCCTGTGGACGAAATGTATGAAAATTACATTTTGTAATTGTTTGGCATTGCATAGGTAGTGTGATGTCACTGCAAAGTAATCGCTTTTAGGAAGGGATGTAACAGCTTTTACCAACACAAAATATTCATACACTCAGTTCATAAAGATGTATTTAGATCGAGGATTTAAAATTTCCTGAACGGCTATGTCCCTTGTACTTAGCGAGATTGTAAATAAAAGGAATGTGGATCAACTTGGGGCACCATGTCCATCCAGAAAAGAGACATTCAACAAGTCGCAGCCGTGATAGACAAAGTGCGGCGTTTTGTAATGGGTAATAATCCATGAACACAAAGGTCAGTTGTAAATGCTTTCCACGTGCCCCAGTCCACGCTACACAGACAAGAAAGCTCTCCTTCTAGAATGTGTACACAAGCTGCTTCCACGACATATCCAGGAAAGGAATACCAACTGTAAAAAAAAATGTAAGAACAGTACCTAGCCATGGAAAAAATGGGAGTATGTGATAACACTAGAGGAAGCGTATGTGTGCCTTGATTATTCTAACGACTCTTGTGCCATTTTCTACTAACAAATGGGTGAGAGAAAAAACAACTTCAAGGGTGTTACAGGCATGTCGCAAAACTTTTTTTGAAGGGATACATGATCATTGCTGGATACTGCGCGAGGAGCAAGCGAGGGATCAGAAGGGTAGATACAAAGATCAAGGTGAACTTTTCATACTATCAGACTAATTTTCTGGATACATTGTACCACACAGAGATACCGGCATTACTCGCAAACAAGGCCAACATAGTATGGATTTACCAAGATAAAGCTTCCAGTCATACCTCCGTTTCAACTGTCGCATGCCTTAAGCAATTGGAGAATAAAACGGGTATTCGTGTTATTCCATATAAAAACATACTGGTCAAATCACCTGACTGACTGTCTATGGACTTCTGTGTGTTCAGACTGTTGAAGTAGGCACTGGGAAATCGTCATCCCCTACACTAGATGGATTATAGTAATCGTACAGGGAGGAGTGATGTGATTTGGACATGGCAGCCTTACAACACAGCTTTTTTCAATGGAAACTATGATAAAGGACTATTGTTATGATGCACGGTCGTGAGATAAATTATGAGCAGATGTGGCAATGTAATCAATAACGACGTGGTGAAGTTCCAAAATAATTTTAATATAACAGACTCAACCCTATTTATATAGCGATCTTAAATAATCTTGTCTCATTTGTCACCTTAAAGTGAACCGCAGAGTTTAAGGTGTCCAATATTGTTCACAGAGTACGCCTAGACTTCAAATAAAACATCTGGATGCTTCACTCATGTGGAGAGCCATCAGAAAAAAAAAGTAGACCAATTACAATAAGCTGTGACAACAATGTTTTAGTGTCGTTAGCAGGACGTAGAATAGCTTTCAAACCAATGGTATTGTTGGACAAACACCTATGAAAACAGTTTATCCACCGATAACTCAAGAAAATAACTGCTATATTTCGTTTGTGGCTCACACCATCTCTGAGACAGAGTCAGATGTAAGTAGCCACAACTGATAGCCATGTCACTGTATACATAGCTAGAAACTAATTTCATTAGGTCCGCTTGTAGTCCAAGCAGAACATCTCAGCTGCAATGGAAAGACTGGAGAATTTAACATAATTATCAACAGTTAGATAAAAAAATACATACGCATTTCAATTTCAAACGATGTCGCAGGCATGGTGAGTGTAAATAAAAATATCAAAAAGGAGAATAACATACAACAGTTTTAATGAAGCATGTATAATTTTAATTACTTATCCAATCACGTATATTGAAACTAAAATCTGTTAACAGTGGTTTGTAGTGTTCGTTTTTACAATCCTTGATTTTTGAATTGCTCACACCATACTAATTTGAGTGACCCTTTCCCTGCTATAACGTGTTCAGTTGACCAGCAACAACTTTCTTTTTACAGCTGAATTACAATTCACCGTGTATAAGAGACAAACTCGTTTAGGAAAATAGTTGGAACTATACTCAAACTCATTTTCATACTGAAACTAAACCGTACTAAACTGGTCGAAACATTCTTTGAAGAAAAGGTTGTTGCCTGAATGGAATGTTCTCATGTTCATTAGGCTTTACTCACGTGGGGCATGTATGGAATGCTCTAGCGATACGCGTCATATTTCATCAAATGATTCAAGACACCGAAGATGTTCTGGAAATTACCATTTCAGAGAGTGGTCGAAGATACCTTAGAATCTTACCAACAAAAATCTGATTTTAAGGATACACCATCGGTGCCAAGCTGCCTTGTTGTTCATAGAAGTCATGCTCCATACGGAAGTGAAATGTTATGAACTGCAAGACGTTAAAGTCACTTCTACCAAATGTTAATATACGAGTAGGTTGAATGACCAATCATTTGCATTTCAGATCACATGACAGATTATCAGATTCAGATGTTTGATTTGCATAAAAATGATCTGGGGTGGGGAATAAATGGCATTATCTTAAAACAATGGGGTTTGTCTTATAATGGTAAAACATAATAAAATCCAAGTCGTAGGTTGACCCTGTGTTAGAGCTTTGTATTTTGAAGGGGACAAGTCGAGTTCAAATACGTGCGAAAACACAAAATATTCCGGCATTTTAAGCTGTGAGTATGTTATAAGAGTAATTGTCAATCCCTTAGCATGGATAGTGGGTGATAGGGTGCTACTGACTGTTTCCCTTCCTCCTGGTCAGTAGCTAAAAATTAGGGACAGCGAAAGATAGCCTTATTAGCTTGGCCATAAATACAAAATACAAATAAGTGTCATTTATATTTTTATTGTTTTGTGCGGTGTCAATGTTTAAATTGCGTGTTTTAATATTGTCCAGACTTTATTCTCTCCAAAAATATAACACCATTTTATTCAATAGAAATATTTATCTATTTTATTAGTTAATCCAATACTTTTAGTAAAATAACAGTTTACTCAACCAAGCTTTTTATGATCGAAGCTTTATTATCAGCTGGTTATCTATTGGATTAAATAACCCAGTATTCTTTAATTTGATGAATTATGCATACTGATTATTTACTGTTACAAATATCAGGATCTGATAATTCTTACAATTTACTTTCTTCTCTCTTTGATCTTAAAAATTATCCTATATCATAAATATCTGCATTATTTTTGGTGGTCAGGAATCCTTCTGTTTTTGAGTTATGGGTAAAGTTATAAATAAACATGTGTGTGTGTGTGTGTGTTGGTCTTTTTACCGTATCATAACTAGATGAAACAAATAAACTCATTACAACATGTGTAAACATATTTTACAACTCACTTTTGTTTGTACCACCAACAGAAGTTCTAATTAAAATTTCAAATAACGAATGTGGATATTTCAACTACATACTTATAGCAAATGGCGTATATACATGATAACAATCTATATATATAACACCTCGTAAATGAAATATGTAAAGATAAATATAGAAAATGTATTATACATCTTAGATGAGGATGATCGTCTGTTTTGATGAATGAAAGAACTAAAATAATAAAAGTATTTTAGTAACGATATAGTAATTTCAAGCCCACTGGTGACATACGTAAAAAAAATCACTTTTAATATTATCAACTTTTGATGCTAATCTTATTGATGTCAATTTTAAATTTATTGATATTTTGAGTTGCATTTCTTTTTTCTTAGCTTTTGGAACAGTGGATTTGAACCTTTTTTAAATTGTTTCAATGGTTTTTCTCTAGCAACGATTAGAAAAACTAAGCTAGATAAAAGAAATAAAACTTAGGGAAGACATGTTCTTTCAATAGCTCTCTCTCACAGTCTTCTTCAATAACAGTGTATCTGATTTAGACTAAGCTATACCATCCCAGTAAATCCAAAGGAAAAAGGCATTTTCTTTTGTGTGCTAGGGCGTAAAATACGTAACAAGATATCTGTATTAACAAACCTTAACTCCCGTGCTGATACATTTTAGAAATAAGAAAGTTGAGTTTGATTAATGTGCCGCACGAGCTAACGACTATTTTATTGGATACCAACCTTGCCAAAAAAAATCATATTGACTTTTTTATATATATATAATGATGCGGCGCTGTTAGTTTGAAATAAACTTTCTTTGCTCCCGGTGGCTCAGCTGTAAGTTTGAGGGCTTATAACGCTAAAAAATCGAGTTTCGATACCCGTAGTGGGCACAACACAAATAGCCCATTGTATTGCTTTATGCTTAACTACAAACAAAAGAAAGATAATTGTTGCCCCTCTTACTTACAGGCCCTCTGTGTGCTGGTAATCCCTTTCATCCCAGCATCCAATTTGTTTCATCCCGTGGGGTTCGTTCTCGCAGAGAGAGTTCTCTACATACCGAGCATGGGATTTTGCATGTTAGTGGCTACCGGCTGGACTATCTTGTGGAGAGGAAGGTGAGAAAATAGAGTTTTAAATAGAAGCGACGAATAAGAGCCTATTGATTAACAATAACATTTTCCACGTTTATAACAGGGACTAAATACTGTATACATATCATTCAGTAACAATAAAGTCCGTAGTAAATATCATTTTGGACATTAACATCAGGACTAAATATTATATAACTTATTAACAATAAGGTCCCGTAGAAAATGTTATTTTCTACATTGGTAACAAGGAATAAATACTATACAGACATTACTGATTAACAATAAGGTCTCTTAGAAACTGTAATTTTGTACGTTGATATAAAAAACTGAATACTATATAAATATTATTGGTTAACAACAAGGTTCGGTAGAGAATGTAATTTTGTACGTTGATATAAAGAACTGAATACTATATAAATATTATTGGTTAACAACAAGGTTCGATAGAGAATGTAATTTTGTACGTTGATATAAAGAACTGAATACTATATAAATATTATTGATTAACAACAAGGTTCGGAAGAGAATGTAATTTTGTACGTTGATATAAAGAACTGAATACTATATAAATATTATTGGTGAACAATAAAGTCCGGTAGAGAATGTAATTTTGGACATTAAAATCAAGGACTAAATATTATATAAATATCATTGGTTAACAATAAGGTCCCGTAGAAACTGTAGTTTTTTATATCAAGGACTATATAATATACGAATGTAACCGTATGTTGTGTAATCTTTCTAACAACGGTAGTAATTCGTAAGATTAAATCGTGTAATGTTTTTATAAAAGTACCTCTAATCTATATTTAACATAAACAAACACACTGTAATGTTTTTTATAAAAGTACCTCTAATCTATATTTAACATAAACAAACACACTGTAATGTTTTTATAAAAGTACCTCTAATCTATATTTAACATAAACAAACACACTGTAATGTTTTTTATAAAAGTATCTCTAATCTATATTTAACATAAACAAACACACTATAATGTTTTTTATAAAAGTACCTCTAATCTATATTTAACATAAACAAACACACTATAATGTTTCGAATATCAGTCACTGTCAGTCTTTTATGCTTTAAGTTCTGAGACTTAAGTTTATTATGTTCAAGATTTATACGAGATTTTTTTTAATGTTATGATAATGCTTCACTAAGCATATATTCACTGCTATACTTGTAATATTGTTGTCTCATAAAAATATCCTTGAGATCAGATTTTGCAGTTTATGCACCCGATCGTTGTGACGTACTCGGTGTTCTTATTGACTTTCAACATAATGGCTTAATGATCCTAAAACGGTAAAAACTTCTTCTCAAGTATTAATAAACTTTATGGGATAAATGTCAATATGCGTTGGAGTCAAGGTATTTTAACGTAACTTACTTTATTAAAATTGACTGTACAGAGACCACAGTTTAGTTGGTTCTGATATTACTTATTATCAGGGCTAAGACAATACTATATTTTCACTTCACTAAAAATTACTTCTTATTTGATGGAATTACGTTTTTTTAAAACCCTGGTTAAAATATAGTGGACTGAAAAGATTTTATTTACACAGAGCCCGAATGCTGGCCGTGACTGCTCTACTACTGCTAATTATTTCTCATGGATTTAAGACAGCTTACCGCAATCTCGACTGGTAAGTTCTAGAGTTATTCATACCCACACACACAGACATATACTTTCATTTATAGTACAAGAGTGTTTGAGCATTCTGTAATATTTTGAAACAATCTTTACCAAAGTTTCACATTTCTAATGTTATTGGCAAGCTCCTGTTCATTTCAAGAAAGCTATGTACACAAAGAAGAGGATATTTCTGTTCTACTATCAGAGGTCTTTCCGCTCAAAATAATATATATGGAGAATAGTTATACAGACAGTATTTGGAACAATCTCTGGGGCAAACTGTATAACATACAAAGAAATATTATAAGGGAACGCGGGAAGTGCATTCCACTGGTTTCTGGATAGTAGTTATCATAGCATAGTGTAGCATCATCTGAGCATTGATATTAGCTGTCAACTAAGTCTTTCAGTCTTTTGATTGAATTTTGTCTCTATTCTGGATAGTAGTTATCATAGCATAGTGTAGAATCATCTGAGCATTGATATTAGCTGTCAACTAAGTCTTTCAGTCTTTTGATAATTTTGTCTCTATTCTTGTCAATTTTGTGATGCTCTATTACTATGCTAGAAATACACATTGGTATCTTAATCATAACCTTTTCCTTAGCCCTAGAAAATATTATTTGATGCCCTTGGAGCATTTATATACGCTGAAACTTCACAAATAGGTCTTACAAAAATAACGCATCCAATACTATAACCACCAATCAAAATACTCCACAGCTGCACGACACAATGACAGGTAAATTGTTCATCTAACTGCCAGAAGACAAATATTCGATCATTTCCTCGAACCTAAATACAATGACTTTCTTCACTCCACAGAGAACGTGCGGAGCAATCAAAATTCTAGCGCTGATAACATTTACACCTATCGCAATGTTGCTGAGCATTATTGAATTATTTCTCTTTGCATAATACTAAGTGTACTTCCGCAGGGTCCTCGTAAATGTTCTGTTTGAAGAGTAAGTAAAACCAAAATTAAGAGTAATAAATATTTTTATTTCTTGTTTTTGAAATTTATATGCCATGCTGTGTTATAGCCTACAGAGTGCATAATTATCCTCGTGATTCATGGCATGCACACATTTTACTGACGTTACGACAGTACAAGTTGCAACACTAAGCGTTCTTATGTGACGTCATTTTAGTGTCTACTGATTGACTGACAGACAACAGTCTACTGTTAAAACATATGACCCCGAAAGGGGGCCGAAGGGAAAAAGTATTCATGTTTATGGAGATCACGCTGTACAGAATTCAGAGATGGTGACCATTCACATGTAAATGTTTTATGAAAAGTAGTTCTGAAAGTTTTTAACATTTCTAATACGTCAACATTAATTAACACATGTGTTAGCATGTAATGCACCTTAAACTAAAAAAAAATGTATTTAAAAACAAAGATTATTTTTTATACAATTCAATTAAAATGATATTGTTTCCAGTCTCCAAATTATTAAAATAATAACGTACTGTACAAGGTTAAAAAGTGGTAAAATCTCCGACGTGACTGGAAAACAGTCTCATACACTCTACATGTTTCAACATATACTACTGTATTATCCTCAGGAGTGTTATGTTTTGCAAAAGTAACACCTATTTATATAGTTATCAAAACACCAGTTTACACATTAAAGAATTTCACGCCATCTGTTGACAACATTTCCATCAAGTCCATCATCCTTATTCAATAATTTAAATTTACTTTTTTTACATTTAATTATCTCAATAGATTCACGTATATTAATACTAATTATATTTCCGGGTTGTGCTAAAATAACAGTTTTTTCCCATTGAATTGTGTGATTAGTTTCACTAACATGTTCTGCTAAAGGTGAAACAGTAATATTATTATTTTTAACATTTCTTTTATGTTCATTCACTCTGAATTTTGAATTTCTTCTAGTTTTTCCCATATAAACTTCTTTACATTCACATCATATTTTATATATGCCAATTTTTTCCATTAATTCAATTTTATCTTTAGTTGTATTAAGAATTTCGCTGACTTTGTTGATCGGTTTGTATATCGGAAAACATTTATTTGTTGTGTTTTTCATTATTTGACAAGATAAGCCAGGTATATATGACAGTAGTAAACATTATTTCTTACTTTTTTCAGCAAATGGTTTTTAACTTAATATTTTTATCCCTGTTTGTAAGTTTTATGACAGCTCTGTCAACAACAGCTGGATTAAAACCTCTTTCCACTGCTACGTGCTTAATTAACAATAACTCATTATTGATATCATCCTGTTTACAACATAATTTTAATATCCTGTCCACATAAGAGTAAAAAACATAGGTTTTTTTAGATGTAGTATGACAAGATTGTTGATGTGGCGGAATGATTACAGAGAAAGGTTTACGATAAATGGTAGTTTCCAACTTATCCTTATTTTTACTCACTAAAACATCCAAAAAAGGTAAACAACCATTGATCTCAACTTTTTTATTAAGGTAATTATCAAGATTAGCTAGTTCATCTTTACCATACTGCCAAATCAAAAATGTGTCATCTACATACCTTAACCAAACTTCAGGTTTTTTATCTGCTTTTTCTAGTGCTTCACTTTCAAAACTGTCCATAAATAAATCACACAATAATGGAGATAAAGGAGAACCCATAGCTCAACCTTCGTTTTGCTTATAAACTTTGCTATTAATTTGGAAAAATGAGTTTTCAACACGTATTTCTACCAGTTTAATTATATCCATTATTTATAAGACTGAATTATTATTTTCTTTCAGTTTTTTTTTCTCAAAACATTCAATAGCTTTTTTAATTGAATTGTGTATAAAATAATCGTTGTATTTAAAAATGCACCTTTTTAATATCTGATATCTACTGAATTTCCTGCATAGCAAGACAGAGTTTATGGATGATTTTTTTATATGCAAAAGTTAAAATTGTTATGAAAATGATTTCTAACACACTTATATGGAAACTTTGATAACAAATTTTGTTAAAAAATGCAATTAATTCATACAAGGGATGAACTTCAGATGTTTCTAAATGGTAGTACTAAATTATCTTAGAAGTAGTATTGAGAACCGAAAGACACGTTTTATATAGGATGACCAGACGTCCCGGTTTTGCCCTTTTTTATTTTGGTAGTTTATCCCAATGTCCCTAGAAAATTTCTTGGGACGCACAGAACGTCTCGGTTTTATAATAAAGACATCATACTCTCAGTCACATCCAGTCACGAATGTAATAGGCCTAATTGACTTGCTCATTGTTGTTACACGTAACTCTCCTGCCGCCAAACTCTCTCGAAAGTTCCTTCTGTGTGTGTGGTGAGAAACCCAGGGCTGAATGTGTAGCCAGTTAGGTTGCGCTCCTCAACAAAACACACTTTACACAGTCATGTACTGAATTTGATGACTAGTTAATGAAAAACGGAACTACATTTCATTCATTCTTTACAAAAAAAATTTGAAAGTAATGCTAAAACCTAAAAGTAGTATGCTTGAAAATGTAACGGATTCTTAAATAAATCCAGGTATGAAGTAGCCTATTTTAAGATGAATTGAATAAAGTGCATAATTAAACATTTCTTGGATGTATAATTTAATTATTTTTGTTCATTTGTTTTGTGTCTATCACCAAAAAAAGTAGTTGAAATTATTTCAAAAACAATGCCAATGTTAATATATTTGGAAGTATTTGGAACAGTTCAATAAGTTTAAAGTAAATTAAATAATAAGTAAATAAGTGCAAATCTGTAAAAACCATTTTTAAATTAGTTCTCTAGTACAATTTTTATAATATTCACTGTGCTGTTAGATTATAAAATAGTTGTAAAAATCTCGGGTATTATATTATTATAATATATTATTATGGTGCATTTATCTGCTCATTCGTGTATTTACCCTGAAGGCATACTGACTACCCGCATAAACATTTTCAGAAATTCACCCCTGCTTATATACTTACCTTGGTTTATGTCTTGAGTAACTCCCAGTTTGTGAGTTGATAAGACCGAATTTGGGGAACTAGTTGGGCCACAGGTAGGTGTCACAGTTTCTAGTATTCGAAGTAGAATAAACAAATGGACTCCAATAAAGAGCTCCATCTGTTAACCTCAAAAAACATATTTTACTGCCCAAGATAACTTACCTCTCAATAGTATTTGACTCCGAAGGTGCGGAGTTTAAGGTGTTGGATGGACTGTGTTCCTCTTACTCAAAATAGCATAAGTGATCAGGTACCGTCCTTAGCCACTGTACGGCGCCAAGCAAGCTTCGTTGAGCTATCTCTATCGACATGACTCGAAAAACCCTGGAGAAAACAGCTTGTTAAAACTAAGGAACTAGATATTGTATTGTGCAACGTGTGCAGCCAATACAGCATTTTGTGTGGGAGATTAAACGGGAATACGGGTTTTGCCTTCTCATCGCCTAAAAACTAGTGCGGATTCGACCATACTGATGTGTAGTTTAGATTCCAGATATTGAAAGGAGTTCAAATCTCTATTCATAATTGAAAAAAAGAGAGAACCGGAAAGTTATGTTTGGAAATCAACTCGCCAAAAATATCACTCTGACTGGGCGTTAAAACTGTGAAAGAAAAGATCTTACCTGAAAATTTCTAGAAATTTAAATCATTTGTATATTGCAACTGTATATAAAAAAAAATCTCGAAATGTCGCTAACTACTGATTAAAAGAGTTTATTTAAAATACTTATTAATTGACAAGTATAATATAAATTCAGAAAAACTTGAAATTTTATTAATTCAGGACTTGTCGATAAATGTAACTTGTGTAACTTCATTAATTAAAATAATTTGATGGCAGACGAACTTTCTTTGTATATAAGCGTTAAAAAACAGAAAATAATTCGCTATCTTGGGCTTCTTTTTCTTTTAGGTACTCGGACTATACGCTGTTTTCTTCAGCGTTGAAAGTAACTCAGAGAAATGCAAAAATTTTCAACAATCTTGGGAAAGCCTTGGACAAACAATCGCGCCACGATGAGGCTCTTTACTTTTATCAGCAAGCGATTAGGTTAGTATTAGTTTAGTTGTTGGTTGGTGTTTCGCGCAAAACTACACGAGGGCTGTCTGCACTAGCCGTTCCTAATTTTGAAGTAACAGACTAGAGGAAAGATAGCTAGTTAACCCCACCTACTGGCCAGCTCTCTCGTCGATCTTATAACACACCCACTGCCTCATAGTGCGGAGCACGATTTGTTTTTGTTGTTGTTGTTTTGTGTGTTAACGTGAAACGAGCCACATAACCTCAGCTCAACAGTCCAACAAACTAACCACCGGGCTGAGCTCGGTCTAATTATATTATTAAACCATTCCTCGGATAGCGCTGGATATGCGTTTAGTTGTTTGTTATTAAGCACAAAGCTACACAAAGAGCTATCTGTGCTCTACCCATCACGGGTATCGAAACCCAGTTTCTATCAGTATAAGTCCACAGACATACCGCTGTGACCCTGGAGGGCATATAAGTTTAGTAAATTATTTTACCGCTGTTGTAGAATTCCTAGTACTGTTTGTTTCTAATATCATAACACTTATTGTTATGTCAGGTTATGACATTATATCAAAAGGCAGTGAATTACAGAGACATAGAAAATCATCGTGATTGTTTTTTAACTGTTTGTTTTGAATTTCACGCAAAGCTACACGAGGGCTAATGTGACGGTCAATCCTACTATTCGTTGGTAAAAGAGTAGCCCAAGAGTTGGCGGTGGGTTGTGATGACTAGCTGCCTTCCCTCTAGTCTTACACTGCTAAATTAGGGACGGCTAGCGCAGATATAACGCCCCCACGGCTGAAAGGGCGAGCATGTTTGGGGATTTGAACCCGCGCCCCTCAGATTGCGAGTCGAGCGCCCTAACCACCTGGCCATGCCGGGCCCTACTCCTTTTCTTTTTTTTTTTAACCGCTTATAAAATTTAGTACCATGGGTTGGTTGATGTTTCAATAAATACGTGACTGATTACATCTCATTTACTTGTTGGTGCAGCGAATTTTTACATACTACTGTGCGATTGTTGAAAGATGTAAAATTCAAGTAGCTTACACTCGGTGGAACATTATGGTATATGGTTTTAATGAACACCTAGTACAGTCTGTGAAAATAAGTGCATCATAGGTTAAATATTTAATACCGTTTAGGTACATGTTAATCTATTCTGCTAGAGTTGTTACAGACCAACTACATGTTTAACTTACAACAACGACAAATATTACATATACAAAATGACAACATCTACAACTACATATATATACATATATATATATACAAGAGATTTAAAAAATACTATCAATCTGGCAGCCAATAGTGACATCGGCAACTGAAATATTAAACACCCTGAATGTATAAATATTGTACACTTTCAGTGCCATAGGCACGCCGTGTAGAAAAAAAAAAAAAAATCTGGGCACGATCGTCACATACCCGTTCTAAAGTTCAGAAAATTCCTACCCACTTTTTAGGAGGTATTGGAAATCCCTACTGTTCATCATTGACCTCTTCTACGGAGGCAAGCATCATATGAGAAAAACAAAAATATCCTTCATACATTTCCCATATCAGCTACACAAATATTTCATAAACAACAGCATTTGTACCAAAACTTTTTGTACAGGACTTTCCCAATTCTGAAACGATAGCTACTTTCATAAACTGGTCACAATCTTGTGAATTAGAAATCATCGCAGCGATGTTAAGTACGAAAACGTTCTAACTTCACCAAATCTTAAGGCTAGGACTAAAGCGGTCAGCTAAAGATCTGTTAGCACACACATAAAACTTGAGCTTATTTATAATAAAAGACTCTATACTTAACTTAAGTCATGCCTGGACAACACGTCTTACATTCGTAACGTACTTATTTACAGACATCATTTTTACGTCCTATATTGGATTTTACACGATTGTTATATTGGGTAATGGGTTAAGATTTAACTTGTTTGTCTGTAATTAAGCACAAAGCTACACAATGCTCTGCCCACCACGGGTATCGAAACCAGGATTCTAGCGTTGTAAGTCCGCAGACATACCGCTGTGCCACTGGGGGGGGGGGATTTAACTTGAGTATCACATTGGGTAATAGGATGAATTTTATCTTGAGTGTTACATTAAATAGCAGGATAATATTTACCTTGAGTGTCACATTGAGTAGTGGGATAAGACTGAACACGAATGTCACATTGGGTAATAGGATAAATTTTACCTTGAGTGTTAAGTTGGGTAATGAGATATACTTTGTCTTGATTGTTAATTTGGGTATTGGGATAAAACTTACACTGGGTGATGGGATAAGCTTTACTTTAATTCTTACATTGAATGAATGGATATGTCTTTCATTGCAGAATTTCATTAAATGACTGGATTTGTTTTGGGATGGGATAAATTTCA